TTCCAAGTTTTTTTTTTCGAGCCTTAGCTTTCCTCTTTTTCCCAGTGAAAACATAAATAAAATTTCGCTCCTCTGGCAATGTCAGATTTGCATTGTTTCAGGACCCCGTCGCGTTGTCAGGGACTTTGGTGCTTAGAGAGCATGTATCTGGAAATAGATGAGAAATCAATCGATTTTGCCCGAGCCCAAGCCCTGGCAGTGGCTGCGGCCGAGTAAACAATGAAATAAATATTATTATAGGCATAATAGAAATGTTAACAACGGCACGTACTAATCAAAGGCAGGCCTGTGGGCGGCAGCTCGACGAAAAATTCCGACAGGCTGTCTTTCTGTCCGTCAAGGCCAATAGGGCGAGGAATTGACAGATTCCCACTTGAGTATGCCAAAAATGTAGTCGGGAAATTGCATAAAAGCATGATTTAATGAATTTCCGGCAATAAAATAATTTAATTTTGGCCTAGTCAGAGTCCGTGGCGGAAGGGGGAGTCTGCCTAGGGGAGCGAAGCAGTAGCCGGAGGACTCTCCGGCTCATCATTAAAAATGTCAAGAGGCTTTCCCTTCCAAAAAAATCTAAGAAAAAAAAGTGCGCAAATCTCCGCATAATTTAATAACGTCAAAGTTGTGCGTCTCTCCCTCTCCATCACCCCCCAGATAGGTGGCCAAGGAGGCTGCGTGTCGCATAATAAAATTCAAGGCAGCAGGCTGGCTGGCTGACAGGAAGAAGACGCTTTTTGGGCCCGGTTCGGCATGACTTGGCCCGGCATGCCAGTGAGTACATGGCAGCCAGGCTAATCTATGAGATGTGCGAGCTGGCACCTAAGCCAGCAGCTTTGATATTTCAGCATTAGCTCCATTAAAGTCAACATTATGAATTTTAATTTCGTGCACTTTATGGCGGAGGCCACATAAGCCGTGTCTGTGTCAATTAAGTGGCAAGACGTGCCAAGGACAGGGACAGACCTGTCAGGTCTTCCTGCATTTGTCGGCTGCTGCTAATGCTGCTGCAGTGTCTCCAGCTACAGCTCCTCCAGAGCAGCCAACAATTGCTGGATGTCTGGAAAACAAAGCCACAGACAAAAGTTGAAAGTTGAAAGCCAGCTGAGGGGCAGGGCAGCTGTGAGGGCGGGGGGATTGGGACTCATTCAGCAATCGCCTTACAAGTGCAATGTCAATTTGTGCACAAAAGGATAATAAGGATTTATGTCAAATGCTGGCGCTGTTTGAGTCTTGCCAATATTTTCACAGATGACTGCACTCGCCCCGAGCGAAAATAAAACGCGGCTTAGGCACCAGCAGCAGAAGGAGCAGCCAAAAAATCAGAGAGAGAGCTTTCTCAGGGGGGATTCCCTGAGACAGTCGTGTGTGTCTGTCTAAGGGGCGTATGCTCGATCTGCTGGCAAAATTCGTGAAAGTTCAACGATTGAACTTTGCACTCAAGCACCTAATGGCTACTTAACTTATTAATTTCCTGTATTAGTAGCAACATTTCCACAAGCGACTCTCATTAAAACTGCATAAATTCGAGGAGTCGAGCCGAGACTTGGCCAAGTATCTGAAAGCAATTTTGCCAATAGTCCGATGATGCCCTAAACCAAGCCGCAAAACTCACTTGAAAAGTTTTTAACTTTCAACAAAACGAAGAACAACAACAGCAACAACAACCTTAATAGCTCGAACAAGCCCAACTTTGGCTCAGAGCTCAGAAAGTGCGCTTTGATGCTTTTGCAAGTTTTTAGTGATTTTTTGTATGTAGCCAGCTTTTAGGGTGCTCTACAGACCCGCACACACACCCAAAGGCAGACAGGGACAGGGACAGGGGCAGGGGCAGGGGTAGGGCCAAGGACTGGGACAGACGAGGGACCACCAAAAGCAATCAGTTTGCGGTACACAATGTGGGCCAGAGGTAGGATACAGAGGAGTCCCCAGCTTTGATAGAAATCATGCTGAGTTGTGAAACGTAAAATTGAATTTACTTTTGCCGCACACATTACCCACCTCTCCCTCTCCCTCTTGCTCACACCAAGATCCTGTGATTTTCCATCTGGCAGACAGTTTTTCACGCTTTTCACCACCAATTCCGAGTGGACAGAACTTGGCCGACTCCAACTCCAACCGAGTCATAAATCATTAGGCATTTCCCATATGCAAACGGTCTGGACTCGGCCTCGCTGTCTGTCTTGTCCTTCTGCCTCTCTGCCTGTCCATTGTGCCATCTTCATTGGTGTTATCACTAATCCCAGCATTAAATTCGGCTTTGACTTTCATTTACTAAAGATATAATACGAATTTCCCCACCATCCTTCCCAGTCTGGTCTGGATGGGGTTTGGTGTTCTACCCACATCAAATGTACAACATTTCCTTTCACAGCAAACGGCAAAGTGGAAAACAGAATTAGCTGGTTTTGCAACAAAGTTAATGATTCTCTTTTTGTGTGTGTGTGTGTGTGTGGCAAGGCAAACTCATTGAAAATTATAACTCTATTCGGTTGAGGCTTCCTCTGGAACTCTGAATATTTTCCCCACTGCTGTAATCAGCTTATAGTAAAATAGCCGCCGAGACCAAAGTGGAATTGAGTTCAATTGAATTGAGCTGTCTGCCTGTTGTTGTTATTGTTGTCTTCATTGTGGAATTGTTCATGTAACTGTTGTGGCATTGGTCATGTTTGCTGCTATTCGTGTTTATTTAAATGTAATTAATCTGCAGAGAAACAGAAACAGAAACAGAACTTTGCTCCCCAGAACTCAGGTTCACTCTGCGGTTAGGACTTAGGCAATTAGTTGGGAGTGAGCTCAAGAAGAGCCCGGGGCTGTCTCTGAGGGGCAAGCAGATGATGGAAAATCTCATTTCCCACACTTTGCAACTCAAATGATAATCCCTGTTTGCCATTACAGACTAAGGATACTCTGTCCATTGTGGCTAGAGTAAACTTACTAAAGCAGCTTAATTAATAATACACCTAAGTAAATAAACATCTTTCGAAAATTTCCTGGAAGCTGAATAAGATACAATAAATGTTTTAAACATCCAAAAATACACGACGGTAAAGGACCTTTCACCTAATTATAATGCACAGCAATTAAACTTGTTTTTGAAAGAGTAATGCATTCAAATGGAAACAATATTAAGCAACAGCAAAACATTAAAGCAGTAACGAAAGCACAGAGCTAAGACAGATTCCAGCTAATAAGATTGGTAAGAAAATAATTTGTCTCTTGGCACATTCTTGGAAAAAGAAACAGCGGACAATAATATTCTCGGTAAGATATGCGCAGTGGAAAAGATCTTGACCAACAATCAGAAATTTAGCAGCTTATAATATTATTATCGATTATTATTATCAGTCCCCGTAAGCTCTCGGAATATTATTAATTGTCATAGCAATTTAATCTTACAAATGAATGATTAAATCATGCAAATTCAACGAATGAAGAGCTTTCACGTCAGATGGCGGTTGGCTTTTAGAGTAAATCAAGCCCAATCTAAGCGAACCCCAGTGTAATTAATCCAATTTCCTTGTACCATATTTCACACTTAAAAATCAAACTCTGGCAATTTGTTACACTCACTCGTACTCGGGTAGTCGTACCGCACGCACCCAAAACCGACACCGAAACCGAGACAACGATACACATGAGACGCCATCAAGCGGAGGGGGTGGATGTCGAATGGATCCAGGGGAGCCTCGGTGAGTGCGGACTTTACTCGGGTGTTCGGTTAGTACGTGAGCCCCGCTAAAAGTTGTGCAAATAAATGGCAGTGAAATTTTATAGCACACTTGATAATTTCAGCAATAATTCAGCGCAGCTAATCACCGCATAAATAATCTTAAGGACAGCCAAGCTTAGTCTTCCCAGCCACCGAACTCCTCTGCACTGGCACTACCAAACAGCTAAATATATATAGATTTGTATACATATATTTATATGTATCTATACATGGACAGTTTGCATGGTGCAAGAGGCGAGAAAAGCAAACATTAAGAGATTCGGGGACGGACAGACGGGGACAGGAACTGCGACTGGGATTGGGACAGAGACTGTCCTTGTGACTGGGGCAAGGACGGGGGACAGTGCGCTGGCTAAGCGGCGGAACGGAGGAGCAAATAAAAGCAACCAGGACCAGCAAACAGCATCCAAAGCTCATGAAATCGAGAACTCGGTCGAATGGAACGTGAGCGAAATTTTTGCTAACGAATGTTGACTTTGCCAAAGTACTAAAATCAAATAACAGCAACGGCGACGGCAACGGCAAACGCTACAACAAATCAAACAAAATCAACAATCACTTGGTAAAAGTTAGCCCAAGTTGATGAAGACAAACGTTATGTATACGTAATACGTATGTATACGGACCAAGTTGGCCGGTCCAACTATTTGGCCATAATAATACAACAAAAATTAATAAAAATGGCCAAACAACAAGCTGCCTGCTGTCTGCTGTGTGCCGCCCCCCTGGACTTTGCAGCCAACTTGTGGATCTTTCAGCATTTAAGCCAAGTAAACAACCAACTCAAATCCATAAAATTAACTCGCCGCAGATGTGACAGCAGCTGGCAACGTCAGCACCAAAGTCAGTCTCCAGTTTCAGTTTCGCTTCCAGGCTCAGGCACAGGCTCAAAACCAGAGCCAGACCCAGTCCCACTCCCAGTCCCAGTCCCAGTACTGAGTACTTTTTGTCTGTCAGAGAAACTGACAGAAATGTAGGTTATACACACAGAACACACAATAAGAATGGATACATTGCGTATACGCCGCATGTGCCACGCGAATAGGAGAAAAGGAAATAAAAAGCGGCAGCCCACAACAAAATAAGAAATTTAATGCGAACGCTGCGTGAACCGAAAGTTTTAAAGCAACAAAAAAGCATCGGGAATGGCTACAATTTGTATAACTTTATGGCGGTACAGGATACAGAATACAGGATACAGGATAGGAGGCAGCAAAACACCAAAAAAGACAAACAAAAAGGAGCAAAATGGAAACTTGCTTGAATAATTTACCAGAAAACTTGAAGACTCCCAAGAATCCAACTCGAACTTAATGTATGCTTATAGTTTAACTGCGGATTACATTTAGTTAATTGGAGTGTCACAGCTTGCACAATTTTCTTTGTATTTATATTCCTGGTAAAGTTGTTTATATCTTTAGGATTATTTCACTTTAATTTTTTTTTGTATTAACTTTTTTTTGTTTTTTTTCTGTTTTCAATTTTGCGCACAAAACGATTCGTTAGCTCAATGCGGTGCACCGCTTTCTTTCCACTTTCACTGCCAAACCGACCGTTAAATTCAACGTTCGCCACGCATCTGACGGATTCGCTCGCTGGCCATCAGATATGCACGGAGGCTGTGCACGCACCCAAGCCATCGTCGGAGTCCTATTCGGGTCTGGCTCTCGCCTTGCCTCGTCCCGATTCGCCTGCTCCATCTCTCGTTTCCACTCGGAATTCGAGAGAGAGAGAGGTGGTCTCACCAATTCGCCGCGTGGGTGGCAAGCTATCCAAAGTTGGCTATGGTCAGGGCTAAGAGAGCGTGGCCACAAAAGAGCACAGCGGAAACAGCTGAGGGTAGAACAGTTTCAGAAATTCAGTTAAAAAGAGATCTCAGTGCAAGAGATAGACTCGCAGAAGTAATGGATAATAATGGGAATTATTTAAGTTAAACAGCTGTTTCACACGCCAGTGCGCAGAAGCAGTAAACATGTTTTGAAGAATACTGGTACTGCAAGTGGGAACAGCTCACTCCAACGTAATTGTGATAAGGGCAACTACGCCACTCGAAACTAAACAAATTTTGTAAATAAAGTTTAGGTGGAATTTAATGAATGGATTTGCAAGGATGAGAACCTGATTCGTCTTCGAGATGATTTAGCTATCACACCATTTTAAAAGGTTTTATTGTAATAGATTGATGCTTCTTGAAATTATTTTTGTTTTGTTTTGATTTTTGCTAGTGCGACAATGACCCGTGTTTATTCAATTACATTTTTTTTTTTTTGAACAGATTGAGACAAGCAATGTCTCGTGGAATGACGAAAGTCAAGGAATACAAAAGGACAATAAATGGAGAGTGTCGTTAAATTTAATAGAGAGTTTTTTATTTGAGTTTATTATATGATCTTCGTGATATGTGCTCTTTGCGTTACCATGTCTCGGCTCTGAGTTGGACAATGATTTACACCCATAACATTTCTTTAAATTACTATAAATCTAAAAGCACTGATAATAAAGGTTAGATTTGGTTTATATCAAAGTTTGTTTGGGATATCTTCAAATGGAATCAGTTTCTCTCACATCTAAATATTTTTCTGTTCCGATCTCAGTTCAGTTCCGAAACACTCATTTACTACCTATATCAACTCATGTACCCATGTAAAAATCGCCATATAAGTTTTCTGATTGAATTACAAGATATATCCACAAAATCACCTGGGAGAATAGAGATCACTGTTAATATCACTAATTTGATAGTTTCCTAATGGGAATTGAATTTGAGACAAGACCTTACACGTAAAAATTAAACCATGCTGAGTTTTAATCCCTCAACCTCTCACATACTCCAGTAATCCATTTGTAATTGATGGTTTTATGAAATTGTTTTATGGGCCGTCAACAACACACCCGTTCGCACTTCGGTTCCGGGACCGCAATGTTTATCAAAACAAAATTTCCGGGCCCCCACACAGGAATGATTGTGCGAAAGACACAAACCAAGCGTCTGCCCTAAACGGGCCAAGTCACAGATCAATATAATGAACCGAAAACGTAAGCCGAAAGCCGCAACAAATTGCCAGTCCGGAATCTGGAGTCCGGAGTGCGGCGTTCGGCCACCGCTGCAGTGGCTTTTGATGTGGATTTTGATTTAAGTTTTAGCACAGCCGCGCACTTATCGAGCAATTGAGCGCTCCAAGGGATAGATATGGACCACATATAGAAGTTGAGTAGAGAATTGATGATTGAAGGAGTGTGGAGTATGTCGTGTGGCGTATGGCCAGGGCATATGCGGCATTCCAATGAGAGACGAAAAGTTATTTGCAATATAAGAATCGATACGAGTACGGCCACCCATAGATGATATACGAGTATGTATCGCATGAGGAGTGTGTGCAAGTGTGTCTGTCGGCTCTGTATATGGGTATCATCCCAAAGTGCACATCATGATTTTATTAAATGGACTCTGATGTATTTATTGTCCAGCAACAACGTGACTTGTGAATTGATTTCATTAAACTGAAAAAGTTAACAAAGCAGCGCTCTGCTCCGCTCGGTGCTGGCAACATTTTTTGGACAAAGTTGCCCTGATAGAAGGGAGTCAGGCTATATTTCGCTATATAGATAAATATTTTTTTATAGCTATATGGGTGTATGAGTGAGTGTGTGTGTGTGTTGGCTTAAGGACATCTATCGTTAGTGGCCGGGAGAAGAGCGGGCGAGTGGGAGGACAGCGGCGGTCGAGCTTCAATGACCAATGGCAACAGCAGCGGGCATCGAGCGTGGAATATCAATGTGGTCGAGTGGATGAGCAGCCAGGCCATGACAGGCACAGGCCAGGACGGGCCAGTAAGAGCCAGGCCAACTAACTGACTGACTGTCAGGCTGGTCAGGATGGTCGGGCTCTCAGTTCGTCAGTCAGTCAGTCAGTCAGCTTTTTGTTGACCGCTGCTTGCCACAAATTGCCAAATCGTATACGAGTATGTGCGTGTGTGTGTGAGGAAGGGAGCATGTGCGGCTTTGGCCGCCTTCATTTTGTACAAATAATGATGATAATGTTGATGCTGCTGTTGACTTAACGCACATAACGCTGATTAGCCGTCGTCCAGGAATACGTACATATACGCATTTGCAGTCCGACCTTAGCCTTTAAGACTTAATTGAAGTCAACCCGCAGAGATTCGCCAGCAATTTGTCAGGGCATTGAGGCAATGCGACAGAGAGGCTTTCAAACCATCCACTGAAGCCGCCAGGAAAGGTATGAACAACATTTCAGGGCTTTGTACTCGGATCGTCCTTGGCATGCGATTGCACTCAAACAATTTATATTAAATGCGCTTTTAATTGCAGTCGAGAGTCTCCAAAGGCATTTCAATGGAACGCTCTGCTGTCCCCTGCTGCCTGTTCCAGCGCCTCTGCCTCTGCCTGTGCCTGTGCCTCATCCGCGTCCGCGTCCGCGTCCCTGACTCTGACTCTGATGCGGGACCAATGCGGCGTATGCACGATGCTTAAATGAAAGCTAATTCTGCATTAAGCAAATTCCACCCCACGCTGCTTCTAAGCACATGGAATTATAAGTGAAGGGCGGACTGAAATGGGAAATGAAAAATTGCCAAGTAAAATAGAAGCTCAGACTCCTCCTGTTTGCAATGGACAGACATGGGCGTCTGCTCGAACTCCTTTTCCCCGTGCCACCCGTGCTCGATGTTGTTGCTGTTCGTGCATTGTAAGTTGTCCTGTTTTATAAATGTTGGCGGCAAGAACCACTTACATGAGCCATTTGCATCATATTTCTGTTGTCATTTGTTGACATTTTACTTGCCTCGTCGTCTGAGCATGTCAGTCTGCGAGTGTGCGAATGTGTGGCTGTCCTCTCTCTATCTCTGTGAAGACGCGCCCTTAATGTGCAGCCATTATTTTTCAAGAAACAAGCTCAGTAGCAGGCCGCACGAGAGCATAGTGCAAAGGCAGCAAGTAGCAAGTACCACGCAGGGCAAATAAAAAGCCAAAGCAAAAACGTTTTGCACACAAAGCAAAAACAACAACATAAAATACTCGTAAGTACGAAAAATAAGGATGGATTATGAGGACGAGGCCTTGGATACCCTTGCTAGCACATAATTGCTTTGGTAGATTCAATATATGAAGAAATAGGAATGAGGGGAAGATCATTTGATGGAATAAATTTATAGACTTAATTCTTGGCGTATTCCGATGACGTGTGCCGAGAATGGCGTCTCAAAGCTTTATACTACTAAGAAAAGTATGGAAAATACTTAACCTTACTCTCCATAAAGTATTCTCCAATAGCAAAATCTAATTTTTCCTTACAATTCCAGCTGGAGATCAGAATTATAATGCCCTTCTCAAGGGTATACTAAACCCACTCCCACTCCCATCATTTGTTGTGTGGAGCAGCAGCTCCGGCAAGCAAGCCAAGAGCCAGAGCCAGAGACAGAGGCAAGGCAGCTGCAAAGGGTTCTCCTCATTGTTTGCTTTTGGCCTGGGCCCAGAAGTTGGCTAATTGCCTCGGCCCCGACTATCGTTTTTCACCAATCAGGCGAGTGAGTATTAATTAATTATCTTACCATATGCCATGCTGCATTGAAAGCTGAATTTTCGCTGATTTTTATTTAACTTTGCACGCTAATTAGCGTCCATTTTGATGCCTTCGGTACGGTCGGTCAGGGGTCTGCTGCTGGGGCTGGGTCGGATTCGGGTTCGGGCACGGGCTGGTCCGGCCACAAACTGACTGTCATGGCTCAACTGGATGTTGGCTCAACTTGAGACTGAAGTTTTTCTGTTACATAGGTCGGTCCGAAGATGGGATAAAGTTTCTGGAAACTTTTACTGAGCTCTTGGCTTGTTTTTTCAGTTAGCAAATATCTATTGATAAACATTTGATTTATACGACTATTCAATGGAATGTGCAAGTATTTGAAGTTCTGCAGAAGTTTGATACCTCTGCAGGGGGCATATAAAATTTACGTTGCCACACTTTCAATGTTAATTAAACCTACTAACAGTACTTGAACTCTGCACTTTAACTCTTACTTTAATGAATCAATTTTTGTCGCACACAACCGCCCTTACAGCCCTGATATATAGCATATCTAAAAAAAAGCATATGCATTTCAATTTACAATAAATTGATAAAAATCCATTTATTGACCAGAACAAGAATCTTTTTCATTTGCATACAAAATTCAATTGAGTGTGTATGAATTATTTAGATACAGAGCAAAAAGACACCCATTTTCATGGCTATCGTTTATCTGTGTTTGCTATGTCTCCATTTAGGGCGACCAATTTAAAAATAAAAGGACCCTTAACTATGACTATTTGAACAATAAGCTCAAGTGCAAAATGATTAGAAATGAAGCTATAAATGAATACCCAGCTCACTTGTGAATATTGTGCAATTTAGAGAAAATTTATTGAAAAAAGACTGAAATACTGTTGATGAATAATATCGAAAATTATACTTTTTAATAATAACTACTCAGCCAGTGGAAACCGCCTATATTTTAGAGTAAAATATGATACATTTTGGCTGAACGAAAATATAATTGCGAAAATACTTTT